AGTTAAGAAATCAACGTTTTAAGCTTGATTCAAGAATAGTGAATTAAGGAACCAACACAATCGCCGACAATATATTGACCTCGTGATTACATGATTCAAGAATCTCACTCGATTTTTTTTAACGGCCACAAGAAATATTCTTGATAAGTTCACAATTAGTGTGATAAAGAATAAGAAGAAAGCAATATGTCTTTCAATTAATCTCTTAATAAATTGTGTGTTTATCTACAATGAATATAATAAGTTCTATTTATATGGAACTCATAAAACCTAACTAGAAACGGAATTAAGCTAAAAAATAATAATAATAATCTCAAAAGATATCACAAAATAAAGTTTTAACTTAAATAGAAGATTGCGTGAAATTTGAAAAATTTGTGTCCAGGAATATACTATGTAGTCGCATAGTGTAAATCTATGTGGTCGTATAGACCAACTGAAATCCTTCTCTTTGGTTTCGGAAAATGGGCATGTGGTCGCATGCCCTAGACAACTATGCGACCACGTAGCTCTCTCCTCTAGTTTCTCCCTCCATCGTTTAAGTCAAGTTGCTCCACTTCATTTCAACTTGCATGCCTAACATAAAAGTTGTTCATTTACTTGTTTTTATCAATGTTTCATCCACCGTACCTAGAGCAAACAATTTCATAGCCTCCTTGATTCGCTTCGCTTGCGACCTAATCATTAGTCCGCCCTCAACGATCAATGGATCTTTGCTTGGACTTGCCCTCGTATCCTGGTTCACATCAAGAATATTATGAGATACAATTTCGAATGAAAGTGCCTTTTCATTTGTGTTATTTATGAGTTGACGATCACAAATTTGAAAATACTTGGAATTTCATGAATCATTTGATATGAATGAGTTGAACTTTAAAACGAGTTGATGAACCCTAAGTTCAAGTATAATCCAAAATTGTGGAGGGTTATTATTAAGGCTTGAGAACTTGTATGAAAAGTTTAAGATTTGTGAATGCAAGATTACTACTTGCACATACATTCCTAATTAAGGAATTGTCGGGATAACATATTTTACAAGTTATATTCTTTATAAGTCATAGAAAAGCGTTCTATGAAGATGAAAAGGTAGAAAATATTATAATAATTATAAAGATGGTTCACAAAAGGTGATGTACTCTAAGTCAAAAGTGGATAAATGAGATGAAAGTCGATTATTGTATTTATATTGAATATGCAATAATAATTGTTGGAACATTTGAAGAATGTTCATAAATTGAAGTTGATTTTGGTTTAATTGTAAATCGAATACCCATGATTCGAAGTCCACTAGTAAAAATGTTTGACTAGTTCAATAATATGTTAGAAATCCTTCAACCATATTGTTAATGATATAGCTTTAGATAAAGCTAGTGAGAAGCATGTGACTTCATAAGAGGATTTTTTAGTTGGTGACAATTTGAATCTATTAAATGAATCGATTGTGATAGGTAGTTATATTTAATGAGATATGAAGTCAATTGTAATGGTAAGCCTATACATATATGTCGAAAAAATAATACCATCAAACAATTGATCTCAAATGGTGTAAACTCATAGATCTATTAAGAAAGTTTATCGAGAGATCAAGTATACTGCATATCGAAGGGAATGAGATTAAAGCTTATTACATTAGAATCTTTATAATGATAACCCAACTTATTGATTGACAATCTCAAGATATTGGTTCAATGGGACAACTAAGTTATAAAGATTTCATGAAGCACTTAGGAAATAATTTCTATTCATTCCTATGATAATCAAAGTACTTTCTGTAGAGTGTTAAAAGGTTAAGTTACGCTTTTAATGATTCCTATAGATTGATTAAATTAAGTGGATTAGGGCAGAATACTCTTAATAGGAGGTCACCTATGTAAGTGTGAAGTAGGATGTTTCTATGAGAATTGTTTGAGGTTAAAATTATCGAAAACACTAATGAAACCCAAGAGTAGTATATGGCCAAAATGAACACTATCATGAGAATCGAAACGGTTTAGGAAAGACATTGTATGAATACTGTTATCTTGATTTTCACCAACGGCTGAATTGTTCAAGACATCGAGTTCATCAATTAGCTAGCAAATCCGATAATATTTCACTAAGGAAAGTTCAAGGCCAGAAACTACCTCTCGTGGTGTGATGTCTTTCCTCTTATCTTTCTACTAGTGTCTGTATTATCATTTGTATATTCAGAATTTTTATTCATTTAGGGGATTTTTTTTAATGGTCTTGTTAGGGGTACATCACCCCTTGTGTAAGGGGTGATGTATAAGAAGTATTATTCTTTTTTTAATTTGGTTTAAAGAAGATGAAATTTGGTTAAATAAAATCTTGAAAAGTTGATTTTGTATCAACTTCAGCCAATTATCTAACTTGATCCGATAGTCAAATTATGAAAATAAATAAGATAACTTGTTCTACTTGTCTAGTAGATGATCGTAGTATATTTGAAATCGCAAAATCAATTCTTGATGAATGAGAAGTTGTTATCTAAAGTTCGAAGGAAAAAAAAATGGAATTTAGCATATGTGACTGGCGCTAGGAGAGCACCATATCTCTGTTAATAACACTCGATGATCTGTGACCTTTGATAAAAGATGTTGAGTTTTGGGATGTGTCTCTCCAGTCATAACCCCTCACATTTTATAAATGGACCCCTTGGACACCATTAAGTTATCCCATATTGTTCCATATCATATTTATTCTTTGGTTTGCATAAAAATACTTTATTAAAGTGGTTTTTTCTTGCATCAAAATCATGTTGATCAACTGTGACCAAATCTGTGTAAATTGACAGTGAATCGCATACAATCACAATTTAGACTAACCTAGTCACAACAATCACATTGAGGAGAAATTTGATCATAGTTACTCACAAATACAAATAGCACGTGATTGTTCACAAACAACGCACCGCTCTTATCACCACCCAATACCCAAAGCATTGCTATCACCACAATCACTACTACACAGATCAACTTCAATGCACTTTGACCACTTGCAATGCTTGCAGGTGTTAGACGCAGGTCCAAATGGTGGTGTGATGAGTTGGAGGTGGAGATTATATGTTAACTGTGACCCTCTGTAATCAAATCTGTGTTAATTTATCTCAATTCCATCACCAAACTTTATAAAACTTGTCAAGTCATGAAATTAATCAACTATCTAATATTATTTAATAGAAATTGTACATGAACAAACAGTTTGACGAAATGTGCATTTATTTAGTAAATCAAAGTGTAAATCACATGTTCATGTGTAAACTCACTATATATACAATATATTATAGGCGTGACTCTAAACATAAAAGAAAACCCTTGGGAATGCCAATTTTAGAAATCCTCTTCCCATACTGCCTAAGGTTCTCGACTTACAGCATCTCCAATGCATTGTACCATTGTCTCACGTCGCGCTAACTAATTTTTATTGAGTTTCTAAGTTTGAAAATTTAAAGTTTGAATAAAATATTCATTAATAGTGGCTCACCCTAATTTGATCACTGATCCAACCTAATATCTATATGTACTTATCTTATAATTTTTATTCCCTCCTGATCATTGAGTTTGAATTGTCAATGAAAGCATGATTAACCATTAAGAACAAAGGAAGGAAAATTTTCGATATTGCACACGAATGGCAAATCCATTATTGACATTGTTGGATTGACATAAGTATTTTATTCAAGAATTTTGCTATTTGTATACAAAGGGCGTACACCCTGGTATACAATCCCCTCAAAATAGGAGGGGGCTGAAGGCCAATAAAAAAATCATTGACCCCTTATTATAAAGAGGTTGTACGTCAGGGTCTACACAGAGCAAAACTCTTGATTCAAATTTTCAAAGTTGGAGACTTGCTATAATCTACAAATAACAATTTTATAAATAAAATTCTATGTAATAATCAAGTCGAAATACTTATCTGGTTGCACGGGGAAAGTTTTTAAACAATATCTATTTTAGTAGAGAAATGCTACATCTACAACCTTTTTACACATACATTTTGACAAGTCTCTCACATGGAGCGTGGAATCGTGAACCCCACACCCATGTGAGAGGGCTGTCAAACTTACTGTGTAAAAATGTTGTACATTCAACCTTTTTCATTTTAGTATTGCGACAAACTATTTTAACAATCTATGACTACATTAGAGATGCTTTCAGATTGAATTATTAAAGTGCATGTTGTCATTGGTAAAATTAACCCATTTTTCTAGAGAGTGGTGCTATGTGTACACACA